TGTGTGTGTGTGTGTGTGTGTGTGTGTGTGTGTGTGTGTGCGTGCGTGCGTGCGTGCGTGTGTGTGTGTGTGTGTGTGTGTGCAATCAATCCCAGGTAAGAGGCATGAATAATGAGAATTGGACTTCTAGGAGTGAGGTTAATATTCCGCAGACGGTTCCCTCGGATTGTGAAAAGGAGGCGGCGCGGGAGTGGCCAGGCATTGCGCTACTTCTATTTCAAAGTTTAAAACAATGCTAATATCATTTTTTTGAACGATTTCATTACAAATGTTTATTTTATATATTTATAAAATATTATAAAATATAATAACTATGTTTTGTCCTATTAACAAAAGACAGGCAATGTACTATTAACAAATGTTAATAGTTTTTTAAAAGTTAAAATGATACTTTATGCATTTGTTTTGTGTCAGATGATTAACAATATAAATTAAACAAAGCTTAAAACAAACAAAATAATAAAACGAAAACAAAGCTTGAACATTTTATTTAATTGAAAAGCCTTTTTGAAATAAAATGTGTTTTTTTCCCTCTGAAATAGCAAAAGCATCGCACACTTAGCTGTACCTGCTCTAAATAAATAATAGTATTTAAATAAAAATACAAAATCGAAATAAATAAATTATATAAAACAAAATCAAATCAAAGAAAATAAATCTTATTAAAGTTATGCAGGCACACATTTAACAATAATTTTCAAGTGACAAATAAAATCAATCAAAATTCCTTACACATGGAGTTAATCCTGACGATTCCTGAGGCGCCTTTCCTCATGACACTCGCTTTTTTTTTCGAAGATATATTTTCTTTGGTTTGATTTTGTTTTTGTAATAATTTATTTTATTTAGTTCGATTTTGTATTTTTATTGAATTACTATTTTTTATTTAGAGCAGGTACAGCTAGTGTGTGATGCTTTTGCTATTTCAGAGGAAAACAATAATTTTATTTAATTAATAATTTTTGTTTCAGTCCACCATATAATTATGTTGTGTTTGATCTATGGAAAAAAGTTAGTTGTGAAATGGTTGAATATTAACAAAAGTTAATAGTTTTTTACAAGTTAGAATAATACGATATATACACTCACCGGCCACTTTATTAGGTACACCTGTCCAACTGCTCGTTAACACTTAATTTCTAAGCAGCCAATCACATGGCGGCAACTCAGTGCATTTAGGCATGTAGACATGGTCAAGACAATCTCCTGCAGTTCAAACCGAGCATCAGTATGGGGAAGAAAGTTGATTTGAGTGACTTTGAACGTGGCATGATTGTTGGTGCCAGAAGGGCTGGTCTGAGTATTTCAGAAACTGCTAATCTACTGGGATTTTCACGCACAACCATCTCTAGGGTTTACAGAGAATGGTCCGAAAAAGAAAAAACATCCAGTGAGCGGCAGTTCTGTGGGCGGAAATGCCTTGTTGATGCCAGAGGTCAGAGGAGAATGGCCAGACTGGTTCGAGCTGATAGAAGGGCAACAGTGACTGAAATAACCACTCGTTACAACCGAGGTATGCAGCAAAGCATTTGTGAAGCCACAACACGCACAACCTTGAGGCGGATGGGCTACAACAGCAGAAGACTCCACCGGGTACCACTCATCTCCACTACAAATAGGAAAAAGAGGCTACAATTTGCAAGAGCTCACCAAAATTGAACAGTTGAAGACTGGAAAAATGTTGCCTGGTCTGATGAGTCTCGATTTCTGTTGAGACATTCAGATGTTAGAGTCAGAATTTGGCGTAAACAGAATGAGAACATGGAACCATCATGCCTTGTTACCACTGTGCAGGCTGGTGGTGGTGGTGTAATGGTGTGGGGGATGTTTTCCTGGCACACTTTAGGCCCCTTAGTGCCAATTGGGCATCGTTTAAATGCCACGGCCTACCTGAGCATTGTTTCTGACCATGTCCATCCCTTTATGGCCACCATGTACCCATCCTCTGATGGCTACTTCCACCATGTCACAAAGCTCTAATCATTTCAAATTGGTTTCTTGAACATGACAATGAGTTCACTGTACTAAAATGGCCTCCACAGTCACCAGATCTCAACCCAATAGAGCATCTTTGGGATGTGGTGGAACGGGAGATTCGCATCATGGATGTGCAGCCGACAAATCTGCGGCAACTGTGTGATGCCATCATGTCAATATGGACCAAACTCCCTGAGGAATGCTTCCAGCACCTTGTTGAATCTATGCCACGAAGAATTGAGGCAGTTCTGAAGGCAAAAGGGGGTCCAACCCGTTACTAGCATGGGGTACCTAATAAAGTGGTCGGTGAGTGTATATATAAACAAGCCGGTGGCACCGCCACCCCGGTGCCTTTAGGGTTACTGTGCATGACGGGCAATATCGTAACTCCGCTTTGACCTTTGAGAAGATGTGTGCTATAGAGCTTGCATTGGTGTGGGCTCTGCAAAAGTGTGTGTGTGTGTGTGAGGCGTGATTGAACAATGTAGACATATATATATATATATAAAGGCACCGGGGTGGCGGTGCCACCGGCTTGTTTATATATATATATATATATATATATATATATATATATATATATATATATATATATATGAATATAGCTGCGAGCAGCGATGAAGGGCCAAAGCCGGCGGCACCGCCACTCCGGTGCCTTTAGGTAACTAAAGGCACCGGGGTTGCGGTGCCACCGGCTTGGGCCCGTAATCGCTGCTCGCAGCTATATTTATATGTTGTGATTTGTATAGTCACAGTGTGTACAAATAACAAGGTCATATGAGACACAGCCATCTTTTAACCTTATACACACTGGGAACTATATTTTCAGAAGGCGAAGCACTGCTACTTGGGCGGAGTGATTAGCGCAACACTCTGAGCAAACTCTCTGCTCCTCACAACGGGGCTTCTCAGGTGCTGCGAGCAAATCACAGATTTTTGAAGTTTCTTAAACTACTTTTTGAACCCGTCCTAGGCCATTGGTCCAATCTTCAACAAAATAGGCACACAACAGCTAGGGACAGTGTTGGCAAATTAGCAAAAGAACCTTGATTTGTCCAAGCATTGCGAATATATATGTTATTTAATTGGTGAGACAATGCCCATTTTTATGAGTTGACCTATAGCTGCTGATCGCAATGTCCAAGCTTAATGAAACTTGAAGACAACAGGACAATCTGAGGACACACACTAAGTTTCGCACAGTTCTGCCAATAGTGGGTGCTGCAACTAAAATCAATTATAACTTCGTACCAGTATGATCCATGAAGTTGAAAATTGGTGTATCTTCTTTGGTGGACATCCTAACATATGCTCTAATATGACTTGGATAAAAAACATGTCCGTCAGGAGCTAGTCTCAGCCTCAGACGTCACGCCCACGGAACGTTAGCTTAACGTCTGATGCATATGGTACACTTAACTGGAAACACTTCAGGAATGTCGAAGTCGTCATCTGATTGGTTGAATTTTATCGGATTTCCGGGGGGCGCGAGTGTCGCGTTTATTTTCGGTCCGCCGGGAAACAAAGCGCAGACGTGTGATTGCGGAAGAAAAACTGTTGTGTTTACATGAGTGACAATGAGCATTTATCAAGATCAGCTGAACGTAGGATTCTCAAAAGTATGCGAGGTTCACGGGAAAGACTCTTGAAGTTTTCTTCTCCTTCTTTGATTTTCTATGCTGACTGACTTGTTGCACGCCGGTCTGTTGTTGTGGGGACATTTCCACGCACCGAAACGTGACGCTGAACGAAACGAACTGTAATTGGTTGTTTTACATGTAGGTCAAACGGCCTTATGGGCGGGCCTTGGCCAAAGAAAGCTGCTATGAATTACAGACCTTCAGCCGTCAGTCTGAAGGTCTGGTTATGCGAGACTAGTCAGGAGCTAATCAAATTTCAGTGGCTAATAACATTAAAGCTGAATGGTCTACCATTACAAAAATGTATACATTTGTACATTGAGTAAAAATGAATTATGTACTAAATTTTGTGGAAAATCTGCCTCAAGTTGCATAATCAACTTTACATTTTAGAAAACATTTGAAAAAAAAAAATCAAAATATCTCTTCTGTGTTCTGCTTAAGGTAGAAAGTATGGAAGACCATACTTTGCACCATAACAGCTTAGGGCTGTCTATACAATGGACTAGTGTTGTCAAAAGTACCGACTTCGGTACCAAAACAGTATTGAAATTTTACAAATATGACTATACCAGCATTTCCCTCTAGCATTTTGAGCTTTGTTGAACGGATTCTTAAAACCCCTCTAATTGGCCATAGTGTTCACGCGGTCAACATGTATGTCTCTGATTGGCTTCAAAAGCATGTTGTAAATAGACGTCTTTGACGCTCTTCATTGAGCGCTTGCACATACACACGGGAGCGTTTGAAAGCAGGTGTCTATCAGCGGATTCATTTATCAGCGGTTATATTCAGGGCATTGCATTCAGCGTAGACAGCATCACTGATTATAATAGATTCTATTGTTCCGTTGCGTCTACCTGCTCGCGTCCAGTGTAGACACTGTGTAAGTCATAATTAAACGTGGAAGGAAGTCGAAATTGACATATTACGCCATAATTAATTAATTAATTTGACATAGTAAGTGATAATTGCAAATTTGAGTCTGGAAAAGTATGGAACTTTAACATGGAAAATGTGTAGGAACCTTGCATTAGGATCAAAATACTAAAAAAGACAAAATTAACAAGTTCAATTTATAATACAAAAAGTCAAAACAGTATTGTCAATTATGAGATGGTGTCAAAAAAAAAAAAAAAAGTCCAAATGTTTTGTCATAATTTTTACTCTTTTTCTTTTGTGGCAGAAATAGCCTTCCATATGAAAGTCAAATAGGTTCGGAACAACATGAGGATGAGATAATGATGACCATGTTTTCATTTTTGGGTGAACTATCCCTTTAAAATGGTTAAAACTGTAGTTATTCAACCAAAACAAAGTCTGAATTCAATTCTCACAGTGGTTCTCTTCTCAGACATTTTCTTGGCATTCTGTCTCTTTCAGGATTCCTACCCAACTATCTCCTTCCAGAATATGAGGAAGCGGTGCATCGTCCTGCTACGCCCCCTCCCCCATATAGTGCCTTAAACACCGGACCTCCAGCCTACATCAGCCCCTTAACCACTGACCAGCAGGATACGCACTGCCCACCCAGACAGATCACTCCAGTGCCCACTGCATCTGACACGCTCTGTTCCAGACCCAGCCTAGAAGAGATCCATACCTCCAACGGGTACCACCACAAAGGCGACAGCAAGAGCGAGATCGAGTTAGAGCAAAGCAGGTCCACGCGGAGTGCTCTTCCCTTAGATCAGCCTCCCAGCGTGGACAAACAGAACGAGTGCAGGAAGGGGATGCTCAGGAATGTGGTGATGCCTGATGAGAACGAGAGGATTCTGGCAAGGCACCGCAGATTTACGGGGGACTCTGGGATTGAGGTGTGCGTTTGTGGGGGAGGCTTGAAAAGCCATGAACCCAAAGAATTGGAGAGGCTTTTGAGCAAGGAGGACCAAGGGGACTCTGAGGATTTCTGTGAGGAATGTGGCCTCCATTCCTTCGAAGAGGAAAATCAGGGCCGTCTATCCCCAGAAAACAGAGTGGAGTGTGGAGCATCTCCGATAGCCCAATCTCAACCCCATCCTGTTTTCCTCTACTTGCATACTATTAATGAACAAGAGTGTCCACACAATAACACACAATCTTAAAGCTGAATACTAATTTAGAAAAAGCTGAATGAGATGGTGAAGGAAAAAGTGAGATATAGGGAGCATACTGTTGGAAGTATATGATGGAAACAATTAGATGTTATCCGCATCTTTGTTTTATGTACAAAGCATCTATTTATGCAGTTAAAAGCCCAAAAGTGCACAAGGATAGGCTCTACTTGCTCCACGAGACAACGTATCACATGTGCTGCTGTAATCGTGCGTTCAAAGTGGTCGGAGGCAAGATGCCGTTGTGCCTTTTCTACACAAAAATACAGCAAAATGATGAACAAAGAATGCACATTTTATGAAGGTGCTGTAAACTGAATCATAATTGTACAATACTTTTGTACATGCAACATAGCTAGTTTTAGTTTTTCTCACTGACACGCCCCCAACTCAATTCTGAGCTCAAAGAAAATCCAGCTTCCCACTTTGTAATTACGACTTTGTGCATTCATCTCATAAATATGATCTTTCAGACGATGACTTATAAGCATCATAAACCACATCCACAGTGTAAAGATGCGGTCACATTTACCCTTGCTTGGTGAAATTTCATTTCAATAGCAATCTGTGTGATCAGCAGTTTTCCGTAAGGGCGAAAAAGTTCCCCGCACAGAATCTGCTTTTATTCAAGTTGGTCATGTGAATTCGCTGTGTTCTCCTGCAGAAAGCTTGCTTTTAAAGTGACTTCACACATCGCTACACTATTGACAATGGACCTTTTTTTGCCCATGAAAAAAACTGTGCAGTCTTAGGATTGAGACGCTAAATACGCAAACACTAGTGTGCTGAACTATCAGTTTTTTAGGACAGTCAGAGAGAAATGTAAATATTGACGGAACACCAAAAAAAGACGCTTTTGAGGCCCCTGTCGACTTTCCCTAATGTAATGGGACAAATTTTAACGGTGTTTATTAAGTTTTTTGTTTTGCACAATCACATTGTTCTGAATGAAACATATTCAATTAATTTGAAACACAAAGTATTTACATACCTACAGTCTTAATTCACATATTGTCTGTGTTGTTTTTGCTGCTGTAAGCTCTGATGAATGTGTATTCAGAACAAGTTTGATTCGTAAATCTAAGCTTTCATAGCCAAAGTAGGCTATATAGATGACATGGGACAGTTGTTAGCATTGGAGCTTGAAAGTGCTGCATTATTACTTGCCATCATTTTCTGATTGCATAGAAACACTACATGTTGAATGTTCCTTTGAACCTGTAGGGATAGAAGCCTTGCCGAAGGGAGTTGTCTTTAGTACACAAACTGCTGGAAGTCAGGTCTTATAGCTGCTTATCCATTGATGTAAGCTACAAAGTAAAATAACTATTTTCTCAGTGAAACATATTTAAGTGAACTCCAAAGATTATATATTAACATTTTGATATTTTTAAAAATGATAATATAGATCATTCTATTTGTAAAACTTGTCTTGATGAGATTGATGCTATTGCCGACACATGGGTACATAAGGCTGTAATTGGTGTAACATGAATTGCCTTTATTCTTTTTGCACTCTGTTACAACCACTCTTAAATGCAATTCCCGTGCCAGTTGTCCAGTATCATCTTGGACATCAGCCTAATAGAATATATATTTTTATGTAAATACTTTTCTTCATGAAATCTCAAAATCTGTGCCTTTTCATTTTTACATCATGAACTTTGGTAACAATTCAAAGTGCCTTGATTTTCTGTTCGTATGCAAACTAATGAGCCATACTTGTGTAATTATAAAATGATTTATTTTTGTATTTCTGCACCAAAGTAGCTTCAGTTTTAAGTTCCTCGACTGAAGCACTCTTAACAAATAATTTATTTCACTGCCCTAATGAATGTTATTAGTAGAGAGATGTGCTGTTCTTACTGGTGTCTCTGTGATGACAATCTAATGTTAGAGCTGTGCTTGGAGACAAATACATATGAATCAATCTCTTTCTCTGAAATATTAATAAGCTGCTAATTTTCAAAAAAGTTATAGATACTCTGAAGCATTGTGCAAACATGATATGAATATGATATCATTTTGTACAGCCTACAATTCTTTTGTCTAACATTGCAATCATCCAATGGTTTGAGTTCTGGCACAATTTATCTTGTATCGGTCTATCTTTTGTTATGCAAAAAACCTAATCGTGACACTGTCTATTAAACACAAATCAACACAACGTGTGACATTGTTTTCCATAGTTTCCAGTTGATATTATTTGTAGGGATTTTGATTCATTCCTGTGCCATCTTTGAATCAGTTCATTAACCAGATCCGTTCAGTGACCCTTTCTGTGGTGTGGCGTGAAGATAATGGTGGATCTTTAAAAATTCCAGTGTTCAGTGAGTCACAAAAATGGTTCATTCATTAGTTAAAAACACATTCGTTATGATCATGACCAAAACATGTCTTATCCTAAATATAAAATTGCATGTTTACACTTTTCTAATTAAAATCGAAAGTGCGGTTTCTTATTGTTTTACAGCAGTAGGGTAACATGGGGCAAGATGACCACCCCCCCCCATCCGCCTTCATTTGTTTGCCTGACCATACATGACACACGATCTCATCTCAGTACTTTTGATTAATGGCTACGCTATTTTTAATTTAGTCATTTCATCTGAATATAAACATTTGTGAGATTTAGTCAGCCAAAACAGTTTTGAGTTTAATTTATCTAATATTGTGTGTCTGGAAAATAGTTATCTATGCTGTATTATGTTGAATATCAATAGATAATATAATATAAAAGTTTATTCGGTTACTAAACATAGAACAGAATGTATGTACAGCAAATTCATTACAAACAAAGAAGGTAACCAAACGGGTATAGGCTGAAGCCGTGGCTTATTACGCCTACCCTATTTAAAGAACAACATCTACCCATCAAAATTTGAACATAAACAATACATGTATAAACATATGTATACATACACACATTCCTATATACACATACTGTATATAAACTCATTTACATACATATACATACATACATTCAAACCTCTTTACTTGATTAAAAATATTTATTTATTACTTGTGTTATTAAATTTATGCACAACAATTATACATAAACTTATCTTGGACAATTTCTCTTAAGCATCCATATATTTGTCAAAAATTAGGATTTTAAACTGTTTTTTAAATAATAAATGGATTTGCTCCTCTTAAGATCATTGGTGAGACCATTCCACAAGTCGACCCCTTTTACCGAAATTGTGTTCATTTTAAAGTTTGTTCTGACCATTTGTTTTTTAAACACATTCTCTCCTCTTAGGTTATATTTCTGTTCTCTGTTTTCAAACAAACATAGTATATTTTCAGGCACTATTTTCCTATTAACTTTGAACATAAAGACGCCAGTATTCAGACTGACTAAATCAGAAAATTGTATTGCTTTAAATTTACAGAATATAGAATTTGTCGGTTCATTATACGGTGAATGATTGACTATCCTTATAGCTTTTTTTTGTTTTGTGTTTGTGGTGGAAGCATGCCCCCATATTTCAACACAGTAAGAAAAGTATGGAACAATAAGAGAACAATAAAGAATATACAAAGAGGGCGTATTTAAAAAATACTTGGTTTTATGTAATATAGCTATTGTTTTGGACAGTTTTGATTGAACATGAGCGATGTGTGGTTTCCAGGATAATTTATGGTCTAATATTATTCCAAGAAATTTGTTTTCATTCACCCTTTCTAGTTCCACATCATCGATCTTTAAGCTCATGCTGGTTTTAATTTGTCGATTACTGAATATAATATATTTAGTTTTACTTAAATTAAAGGATAGTTTGTCTATCAATGTGTGTCTATTTGTTAATGAGGGATTTGTGGACACATCAATGTTTTGGGATTTGTGGAGTAAAAGTTATTGTTTTTATTGTAATTACACAAATTAGATGTACATTTTACATCTTTGCTTTCATTAAAACCTATAGGTTAATTGAGTGATATCATTCAATTTGATTTTACTGTGTTTCTATTATGATATATCTTCAAATTAAATGTAAATATTCATATGACTACATTAGACAGAGCGATTTTACCTTTCAGATTAATCTCTTTTACTGGGATTCTGCTTTTGTCTGTCATCTGTTATTCAGTTATTCAACTAAATTGTCAAAATTTTAAATTGAATAGTTGATTTAGTATTTTTATGACACTTTAAAAATGTAAAAATTTTAATAAGAAGTATATCAAAAGTAATGTATACATTCTGTAAAAGCTTCTTACTCCTCTTTTGATACCTTATATGTTGTGCTATAACAGCAAATTAGCGAATGTTTCTATTTATTTCCACGACGGCTGATGCATCCTCCAGCAAAAGCTAAACTTATCTAAATTTGTTTCTGTTTAAAAGTAAATCCACATTGTTCTTAAGGGGATCCCCATCTATTATTGTAATTATCATTGGGTGTAAATCAGGGTTACTATGGAACAATTTTACAAGGGCAAACATAAAGATCAGCTGGTTGACAGTAAATGGTTCCTCTCCCTGAACAATAAATATATTTTTGTAAATGATATAAATATATACTATCATATTTTATTACTTGAATTTCTGAAGGCTCTATGTTCGGGATAAATTATGATTTTAACAGGTGTTTAAAAATGCCACAATTGTTCTCAAAGTACGCTCTCTACAGGTCATGCATAGTATTATTTCATGATAGGACAACAATAATGCAAACTTTACACATTTTGATGGGAGAAGGTATTCTTCTTTTGAGTTTTACTATTTTAACATTATTAATAAATACATTAACATAAATCATTGGATTTAACCCACTATGGGACTAATTATGAAATCACAGAAAAAGTCATTTTCCATTTGCACCGTAAATCGATTTCCTGTGCCACCCATTTAAAACAATGCGATGTGGCACGGTTTCAAAACAAGTATTATAAATTGGCAGCCTTCTCTTGTGCTCTTAATAAAACTAATGGGGTGCTTATCTTAGTCGATAGGAAGTTACATATAGGCCTAACTATTGAACTTACCGGGAATGATGATGAAGGTAGATTTGTTTTTGGGTGTTTCTGCAACTACAGGCACTTTTGACTATCCCAATAAAAAAAAAAAATCAACCTCTATGAATTTCAATTTTAAGCATCACAGTCTGTAGGCTAATACATATATATTAATGTACACAAAATAGAATGTAGTTGTTAAGATTTTAATCTGGAACATGTTTATTTTTTATGTTTTTCGGGTCATCTTCTTAAAAAGTGTCCTTACTGCAACGTTACAATAACGTTCATTTTATACATTTTTCTTTAGTAATTTCTATAAAAAAAATTATATATTTAAATAGCTTTTTCAAATTTGATGCAGTTTTGTAAATACTGATATAAAAAAATAATATACAAAATAGGGAATTTCATGTTTTTTTTCTATGCCATGTAAAAAATTTACAGTAACCTTAGATGTCAATTGTTTCCATGCACACAAAAGATAACATTTAACTTTTTATGACAGATGTTGCAATTTCAATGTGTTAATCATCTCAGCTTAAGTGTAAAAATATTTTTTTTGCAAATGAAAATGTGAAAAAAAAAATGAAATAGAGCAGTGCTGCGGTAATGCCATTTTGTGTCGGTAAGGACACAATGTCGGTGTATGAATGATTGAGTGAATGGATGAATGTGAGGCAATATGTAAAGCGCTTTGGTGGCCATTGGGTCTGTGAAAGCGCTATATAAAATGCAGTCCATTTACCATTTACCAATGTTAAACTGCCACGACAAAAAATGGCATGTTTATATGACGTTATATATATATATATATATACTAATATATACTTCAGTATTAATAATATGCTGAATATTTGTAATTTAATAGCCTATACAGTAAACCTTGAATTTGTCTCTACCGCAACACAAGGTCTTTACCGCAACACCTAAATTTGCTGCGGTAAAGACATGTTGCGGAAATTACATTTTTGCAAATATTTTAGCTAATTGGCAGCTAGCAAGGCCTTCCACATTAGTTTGGACTCTTAGCATCTTAATATACATGAATTCAACAGTAATATACATTTATTTTTAAAATGTAGTTCAAAATACACAATTATTAAGCTGATTGGTAAGGACGCACAATAAATACTAGAGCAGATGATGTTTACCTCACTTTTTTGGTATCTTGTGAAGTAGTGTGGTGGCCCAGTCTGTCAGCAATGTGCTCAAGTGATAAGTTCTGTTTCCATAGATACTAGACTTGTTTGTGTTCGATAAAATTTCATAATAAAAGCTTTTTTTCATTGTTTCGGTAAGGACTCAAAAGTGTGGGACAGGCACATTTAGTTAAAAAAAATCATAAAAATGATCAGTAAATAATACAAAGAATTTTAAGATGCTGTAAATTAATCTGTATATTAAACAATTCCATTTGAAATAATGTCAAATTGTAATTAAATTAGCTTATTTTATGTATCTCAACATTGAGACCACAGGTGTACGTGGGACCTTAACAAAAATGGTGTTTTGAGCAGTAATTATATTTTTTGTCAAGGTGTGTAATGTATTTTTGAAACATTAAATGAAATTTTTTTTTAACATAAATCTAAAATTTCACTGCAGGGACTTAAAAGTGCCCGTAGTTGCAGAAACACCCTTTTATACGTTGCAAAATACATAATGACAGGTTAACACTGGCCTCCATTTACTGCCCGAATGAGTGCATTTTTCATGAATATTTCCAAAACATTGCTTGAGCAGACTGATTGTCATTCAATGGTTGGTGGTGGTGGTTTTAATGCCGTCTTAAATCCTGCATTGGATAAATCTCACCCGGATACAACAGCTAACCCATCTTCTAAGTTACTGAATAAATTTATCACTGAACTTAATATAATCGATCTTTGGAGAATTCCAAATACTACATCTAAGGACTTTACTTTTTTTTTCTAACAGACATAAGACTTTCTCTAGGATAGATTACATATTTCTCAGCCCATCTCTAATTTCATCTAACTCCTCTATATTACCAATTTTATTGTCTGATCACTCTGCAGTGTTATGTAATGTTCACCTTTCCAACATTAAGACCAA